ATGACTCCACATTGACAGGTTATTTTACCGTCATCTATTAGGACAGTCACACATTATCTGGTTTTAAATGGATATATTCACATTTCGTTCTGAATTAAAATAGACCGGTCAGTAAGTAGTATGTAATAGCGATAAGTACCAATTTTTTTCTAAAAATAGAGAATCGAATCTATTGAGTGTGAGAAAAACTACGCTGAATATTTTGTCTCGTTCTAGCTTATGCGTGCCTATTGATTGATTAAGGATAGATTTATTGTGACATGTAACAATATAGTTGTTATTCTCGATGTTTTAGAGGTTTTTAGACGTCTACGTCTTTCTGAGATTTATTGTTTTCGCCTATTTCTATAGTATTGTGCTAATTAGTATCATTGAAAGAAATTTTAATATGTTTTTAGTTAACTATGTCTATCTAATTAGGACGGAAAGAGTATGTTCTAAAGAAGATATAGTATTTGTTCAGCCGGCCAAGAATCGGTTCATATGTGATCGCCCTTACACGAACGAGCAGCTAAGAGTTTCGGGCCTGCCTCAAGCCAGTCATTGTTGCGTGGCCCGCGGCGGGCCGTTCGCTAGTCGAATTAACGTTGTACTACCTACAACGTTTATCTACGAAGGTGAGACTACGGGCACTCGGTCACCGACCCGATTACAAATAGTACCTATTATATATCAAACCGTTGAGGCACAGTAAGTAATCTACACTATCGGTTACAAAATGTTTCTTTTTACTACGACATTATCGCTACCATTAATTCATTGTGGTACCAAACAATAAACATTTTTTAATAACTTTTGTAATTTCATACATGACTTAATTATTTATATATTAGTGCTATTAACCTAAAACTAAAAATCTTATATAATATAATACTCAAAACTAAAATATATTATTAAAAAGAGTCCCTTTAGGCAAGCTTCAAAGAATGGATGCATTAGCGAAGGCTAATGGAGGATGATAAGATGAACATGTCAGATAGCCTATCTTGGCAAATTTACTAAGATATTACATAGTTTTCAGATGAAACCACGTGGAGTTCAACCTTATAATCTTTATAACCGGAAGAACAGACATACCGAGGAATTATATAAATTAAGATAATGATCAGAAATCGGTTCTTTAGGACGCATTAGATGAAACTTACAGAAGAAGTATACCTATGTATTTGAGAATGTTCATTAACTATATTTTTGGAAAATGTTAAGATTTTCTCCTAACATACTAAGTCTAAAGTAATTGTAATTATGATACTGTTTAATTTTACATATTATTAATTGGTAATTATTGAACTTGAATCAAATGAAATTATGTTAGACTCGCTCGTTTGATATGATAACTCTAAAAATAAACATTATTACATATGACATTTTACAACTGATTATATAAATCGCGTAATATCGATCGGCGAAGAATTTATGTGTACAGAAGATTCTTCGAAGATTCTTCTAGAGGAGTGCTTGCTTTACAAATTTTGTTGAATACATGAGACATTGGTAACCTTGCTGACTTTGTTCATAGACTGCCTCTGTTAAAAAATTTGTTTCTTTTAGAATTAGAAATAATTTTTATTCAAATAAATAAACTTAATACGTTTAAAGCACATTTGAATAGTTATATATTTTTTTTGTTCTACAGCTCATTTGGAAAGCAAGATCGCAAGGAGAACGAACAGGTTCTTGTTGCTCTTTAAAATTGCGGTTCATTATTAATTTATCAAGATTTTGTGTTAATACAAACTGCTAAATAGACAATGCCATATGTATTTTGTACACTTTTTATTGTGTAATTAAGAATAAAAAAAATTAACAGCATGTTCGACGAAATGGAGATAAAAATCTTTTTATTTGTATCGGATAGATAAATGCGATTTTACATGTTGCAATGTTTCATACATTTGACAATTTTAGTCATTATATTATATAGCTTTTTAATTTTAGGTTTTTAGTTGTACAATTAGGTTATGTAAATAAATTGATAATACAATTCATATACAATTTTGACAATTGTAGATCTAAATTAAAATTGACAGATTGGTCATGCTCAATGCCAAAGTTGTCAATCTCAATATCTTCCAAATGGAATTTTCATGCAATTATATTATATAACATAATCAAGTCCCTGAGAAGTATTTGTAAATAAATTAAGTTACATATTCCAATACTCTGTAATATTGTTTTGGTAGATCTAATTATATATTTCATGGTCTTCCGTTGTCTATTCGCTTAGATCTTTTAAACTACGAAATGTTTTAGCAATAGATAGAAAGATTCAAGAGGAAAGGTTTATATGTATAATTGTAATATATTTAAAGGTTTTTTCTATTATATTTAATTTATTATGTCACTTCACTCTCTACCATCTTACCACTAAATACATTTTTCAGTCATAAATAGTTTTACTACATATTTATACAACAATAATATATGCGTGTTATAGTATAGAACAAGCCAAGAAATGAGAAGATTTTAATGTACCGGGATGGGTCGCTAGTGGATATAAATTGATGTAACTCGTCGTACATTGCAGTATTTATAATGTATACTTTTATAAAATAATTTAAAAATATAATTTAGATAATGTAATAACTCTAAATTTTACAATATCACAAAGAAATAATAGCATTTTCACCCCCGGGATGTCGTAAGAACTGACAATAACGTTACGTAGGCGTTCACCATGAAAGGATTTCCTGAAATTCCCACGGGAACAGGAGATTATTGAGTTCGCGTGGGCGATGCCGCGGAATCATCTAGTTTTGTATATTTTATCGAATAGACTTTGTACAAAGTCGTCTGTGTCATCTATTTCTGGCACTTAACAGTTTGCTTTAGTAAGTAGTGTTTTGTTTTAATAGTTAAGATGCGGTAGTGTAATTACAGGCAAGAGGTTGGTCTTTTTTTGGACACTATATTTAGTCCTCAAGAAAGACTGTTACTGCTGCTTCAGTCGTGGCTACCGGAGGCCGTCAGTTACATAAAAATATATAATGAATAACACTGTAATATTCAGGACAATTCACACAACACCATCTAGTCCCAAGCCAAGCAGAGCTTATGTTGTGGGTACTGGACAACTTATTTAAATACATAGATATTTTTTGTAAATACATATAAGTTATACATAAAAAACACCCAGACCAATACAAACAATCATACTCATGAAAAAAAATATTTGGAATCGAACCCGCGATCATCGGAAGCAAGACGGCTTGCTAAACCGCTATACCACAGAGACCGTCATCAGAATAGGAATCATTAAAACATTATTATGGAATTAAAATTGAAATTACTGATAAAGTAATCTGCCTGTAACCCACGTCATTGTGTCTTGATATTGTTTTGGAAGTCGTGGTAGGTGTCAGCGTGAGGCCACGTTGTCTGCTGACCTTGTATGCTGGTGACCCATTTTACACGCAACTGTTACTGTGTTAACATCTGGCAAGAGCCTCCTATTATTATTAATGGCCAATAATAAATTTTACAATATATATTTTTTAATAATATATTTTCCGCGTGATGACGCACTAAGTAGGCATGGGTATCTCTGCGCATATAGCATGTAAGATATGGGATGAACAATAAAATAAAGTATATGTCAAAATCACAATGGATCCATTTTTTTTTAATAATTAATGAATTTTCGCTTCAATATACTTTCAGAATTGAGTCGGTGAAGTCCCGCTTCAAAGAAATAAATTATATAAAAAAGATCATTAGATAGCCTCCTGACTTAATCCTTATTCTTCCATCCATTAATGACGCCTAGATTAGAGCAGGCAGTCGCCCGTTCTAATCTACATCATCAAAAAAATACACACGAAACTGCAAAAAGTAAAAAAAATACTCATGACTCATGACCTACATTATTTAAGTGTAACTATAACTATGTTGAGGTAGGTCACGTGTGACACTTAAAATTTCGATTTAATCCTAAGATCGGATATTGCGTTATGAACCGGACAGACATTAAACGGTGCATAATGAGTGTAGTGCATTACAGACTTACGCCTGCTTACGTCATCCGCTTATTATCAATAACAGCAGCCAATGTCAAAAGGAGAATGAACTCGCTAGCGGTATCCTTGAAACTTTTTACATATCATATCGTAGATAGATTGTTTTGTTTTTTTCATCCGACGGATTTCGATGCGCTGTTTTCGTGTATATTGAAAACATGTTGAGAATCGCCGCATATTTTTATAATCTGTGCCTGACTGTGGCTCGTCCATTCGTCATCAGTGCTGAGACGTTAGTAAATAGTGTTGCGTCCCAGACAGTGATAATCAGTGATATTTTTGAAGATGTTACTACAAAATTATAGTATAAGCGTTAGTTTTAATGTTATTTATATTAATAACCACCCAGATAGGTGTATGACCTAATCGTATTCTCGGTCTCTCTGTATACCCCATAAGAAACAAAGCGTGAAGTTAGGTTTATTTTGTGTATTCATAAGCCATCGCACTTTTACGTTAATATATATATTACAATCATTTTAGGTATGCATATAGTATGGTTCCTTCGGCTGCGCTAACGGTATACTTGTGGGGATAACATGAGCGCATGCTCATCTTAATTCAAGTCAAGTCAATTGGTCCATCATGACTGATTCCACAGGAATACAACCACGATGGTTTCAAGTTTCAGGACTATAACATATGTTTTGGGACCATGGGCGTCCCTATAATTTTTTGTTAGTAAAACAAAGGAATACTAATCAAATCAAATCAAAATACCTGTATTCAAGTAGGTCTATTGCAGACTCTTATGATATATCAAATCTACCGTCAGTTCGGAGTGCTTTTGAGCTAAGAATTGACAAGAAACTCAGCTGTTTTTAAATGAGCTTGTATTTTTACCGTAAAGTTTACAACAATACAGATTCATTTTTAAATTCAATAGCAGAGTTTTAAATACTAGCAGTATATATGTAGATTGCTTGCGTCTATATTTGTTCAACATTTATAAAAGTCTGCATACAAAACTTTAATGGGCGTCAGTTGTTCCAGGTGCAAATGATGTCTGCTGTGAGTGGTGAGCCGATGCTGCGACGTGTGAAGCAAGAGGCGGAGCCCCCGCCGCAGTACCCCACGCCGGAGCCCCAGCCCACACACACGCAGCCGCTGCACCGGCCACTGCAGATCATGCAACCGTCCGAGGTTAGTATTGTCACGAATGTAGTAGTATTAGTAAGGTCCTACTTATTTGTACCCAATACTGATATTAGGGACATTTGGTCCCAATACAATGAACACAAAGAACCTTGGGGTTATTAGTAACTATTTGTTACGCGACTTCGTCCGCATTGATTTTAACTTTTTTTTATTAAAGTATATCAAATTTCTCAAATAAAAGTACTAACCTAGGTAGTTGCCTAAGTTTTTCCTAAGAGTTATAGGTTATAGGAGTTATCTAATAGAGAAAGAGTGCAGAAGGCAATTTTTTTTTTAAATTACGCATAAAAATACATAAAATCAATAAAAAAAACATTACCTACTTTAACAGGTATTTGACACACATTCTGTACTCTTTTGTTTATTGTTATAGTCTGTGGTCAAATTGAGAATAGCTTAATATTGTCTTTAATATTATTTGTCTATAGTCTTACTGAATGTTAAATGAATTATAGTCTAATTTCGACCACTAGGTATAATAAATGCTGGTAAGTTTTAAGTTTTTTTTTTAATATAACAAGTCATTTACCGTCCGATATTATATCACGTTGGTCTCCGCTCTTTATCCGCTTTTTATCAAGCGGAACATATTTTGACATTGAACCCCGCGGCTCTTATTTTTCTTTATTATTTTTTTGTTTTTAGTGCGTATCGTGACATTTGATCTGTGAATAGCATAAATTATAATAATATCGCACGACGCGTTATTCAGCTTGTAATTTTGATACATCGATTTCCTTTCGATCTTCTCAGTAAGCAGTGCTTGGTTTGGTAATACATACATAATATATAAAGAAAACACCCAGAATATAAACATACATACTGATGAATACAAATGTTTGCGCCGTGTTAGGAATCGAACCCGCGATCATGGAAAGTAAGGCGGTGTACTAAACCGCTAGACTACCTAGGCTGACTAAATAATATAGTCAATAAAGTCTTAAGAGGTATAATTTTATTGCAAACAAGATACTGAGGTAGACTGCAAAGTCGTCTGCGTAGGTTCATCTGTCTACCTATTTTAAGGCAAACTGCTTTCTTTGTAATCTCTGTATCGGTTGAAGGATGATATAAGGATGTCAAATAACATACCCCTCCGATCGATCCCCTATCCAATCCAAACGGATCGAAATTACGACAGCCTGAGCCGAGGTTCGAACCTCTAGCGGTGCCCTCAGACAAAAATCGAATCCGTCTGGCAGAAGGTGGCGTTCAGCCGCTCCAGAAGTCCTTCTGTAGGTTTGGAGTAAAGGCCAGTAAAAGCTGTAAGGCCGTTGCGGCCAACAGCATTAGAGTAGTTTGAAAAGAAATCACATGACAAGAGGCATGCCATCGTAGTCCACCGGAATGGCAACTCAAGAGTCATGATAACATATAGGCGACAGTTACCACTTACTTGCTCACTTGTCGATTCTAAATAAGAGATTAATCTTGTGACGTACAAAGTTTGTTATATGTGTAGAAGTTAATGATTAAATTGTTTAAGGAAACTTTTTAATTTATTCTCATATCTGCAATACCTAAATAAATGTCGCAGAGATATTTCTAAAATTATATATTAATTAATATTGTTATGATTTAATTACAAGACATATTTATTAATATTACTTACTGTTGTGTCATTTTTTTATATAATTAGAATGAACTAGCTGACGGTCCACCTGATGGTGAGTCGTAAATGTCTTATAGGTTAGGTGCATCTGTCTGACTGTTTGATCTTGCTAATCTCTCATATGGCTAGGGACAGATTTTGACAAGAGTTTCACTGACTCTCACTCAGATAGCTAATGTTATAAGAAGTAACTTAGGCTACTTTTATTTTGGAGTTTTATTTATTTAAATTAATAAAAATATTTCTCGCAGACGAAGTCGTGGTTAACAGCTAGTTTCTAAATAGAGTTATGGTTCTTCTATTCACAGCTGGATCTCGAACCGAAAGAGGAAGTGAAATATTGCGTCTCCCCCGGGGACGGGGCTATAGTAGGGAACAACAGTCCAGAACAGCAGCACTGCTCGTCCACCACGGTTGCAGCGGCCACCGGGACCAGAGACGATGACACCCACAGGCGCGTGTGCCTCGTCTGCGGGGATGTCGCTTCAGGGTTCCACTACGGTGTTGCCAGCTGCGAGGCGTGCAAAGCATTCTTCAAAAGGACGATACAGGTCAGTAATTAATTGTGGTTTGCCATCTCTGTCTAATGCGTTAGATAATTTGGTAATGGAGTCTATCTTTTGGGTTATTCTTCAGCGTGAGATAGCCCTATATATTTATGCAAAATTTTTTTGTTATTGATGATAATGATATGATGCGCCGGCCTTCGCTAACGGTTTACGTTGGCGGGGCACTATATTCCTATGTTAATCTGGGCTTACATTATTTGGTTCAGTCGGATTGTCATATGCGGCCCTATTCCGATTGGCGCATTTCCAAAGAGGGCGGGGCGTAGGACCTAACACGCCAATTGAACTGTAGTTGCGTAAGAGAAACGTCCGAACAAACCTAACAATGTGAGGCCAGGTTTAATCGCTATTAATATAACTTAATGTTCTATAGGTGAAAAATATTTAACTACAGTGAAGTATTTTTTAGTTACTTTTATACTAATCTTATAAAGAGGTTAAGTTCTAAAGTTTGTATGTTCAAGGTAATTTACTAGTGATTTGATTTTGAAAAGTGTTTTAGTGTTGAATAGCCTATTTATCGAGGAAGGCCGTAGGCTAAAGAATATAACCCTACGACCCATAGGAGCGTAGCTGCCCTAGTTGTCAAAACATTGTATATCAGAAACAAAAATTCAATTATTTGCACTTTATAATACTAGTTTATATAATAGACAAAGTAAGACTACAGTTATAAAGCTCGGCTTCTCTTTAAACACGGAATCAAAATGAAATAACCATTGGTTTTCTATATTACGTAATGGAATCCGGAATGAAAACAATACATTTAGGTATGCATTATCGCGAAATGTCACATCGTTCATATAAATCGCTACGATATGCTTCGATAACTTATTGATGCTTGTTTTCTGTGTTCATTACCTGTTTCGGATTAAAGAGTGATATGGCAGTGAAATTACAGTTTTTCGAACTATTTTAAAGCTATAGCTGGCCTTTACAGCTTCACGAACGATAAGGGACCAGTGCAGATGGCACTCCAAATCCGCTGGAGGACGTATAGAGCGGTTGAAGGCCAACTTCTGCCCGACATATATGACTTTATGCTGAGGGCACCTCTAGAGTTTCGAACTTCGGCTTGGCTGTTTTAATTTCAATCCCTGTTTGAATTGGATGGATGATTGATTGGAGGAGCGACTAGGGTAGCCGGTGGGGATCGCCCGAGCGCTCATACGGGTGGTTGTGTTGGATGGTGTGGTTAAAGTCGTTGTCTTCGCCTGCGAGGACTGTGTCGTGTGTTTGTGTTAGACGTGGTAGGGACGGAATAGATGGACTCGTAGGAACGTTAATTGCCGTTATGGGGCAGCGGGATCAATTTTGCATATATATATCGCGTATTCGCTTGTCGGAAATTGTCGCTGTTATGTTAGTTTATTTAGATACTGCAAAAAAATATATAAAATATATTGTATTGTAATATTAAAAAGCAGTAAATGTTTTCGCATGTCTTATGTTTGTTTATTTTTTTGTTCGCTGCTAATTTATAATTCTGAAATGGAGTTCGCCGGATCAGCTAGTTATTATTATGAAAACCTAAGAGTTGTGAATAAGTAATGTGTAGGACAATATAGAGAATACTGATATATTGTAATGATATTGGCATAGCGTAAAAACTTAATAGTAGTTAATATGTTTTATGCAGGGCAACATAGAATACACGTGCCCGGCGTCGAACGAGTGCGAGATTAACAAGCGGCGGCGGAAGGCGTGCCAGGCGTGCCGGTTTCGCAAGTGTCTGCGTATGGGGATGCTGCGTGAGGGCGTGCGCCTGGACCGAGTTCGCGGCGGACGACAGAAGTACCGCCGCCCGCCAGACGCCGCGCACCACGCGCCCAGACCTCACCTCGACGACATCAAGGTACACCTACATTGTTTATTTTTTATCATGAGGTGAAATTATATCTTATTATCAGACAAGATCTTGCTGTTATTCAACATAGACGACACTTAATTTTACGGTCGCGACGATCATCAGACATCATACACTTATATCTATACGTCGTTTATTTTATATTAAGGGGTGTTGCGGTGTCTTTTGATAGGGCTTCCTGGCCGCCTTAAAGCCGGAAGCCTAGAGAACAACCTGACATGGTACATTGCTAGCAATAGGATCTTCATTACTAATAATCCCCTACCACCTGCAAGAGGCTAAGAGGCTAGTTCTTATTCCTAACAATCCTCTCATATTTAATGGTGCATATTTAGAAACTAAGTTTATAATAAATTGTATTTTCAGGTATTAGAGGCTCTCACCTCGTACGAGCCAGAGCTGATGAGTTGTTCACCGCCGCCGGCCGGCGTCACAGAGACCAACGCCAGGACCCTCGCGTTGCTGGCGGACCTCTACGATAGGGAGCTGGTGGGAGTCATAGGATGGGCCAAGCAGATACCGGGCTTCACTGACTTACAGCTTAACGATCAGGTGCGTTATATGCTGCTCATTAAATTGTTTAGTAGTAGTATAGTTGTGTGGATGTCCTATTAATCAGACATTCGATTAACCGGATTTATGTTACAACTCTAATAGCCAAATAATAGTAAAGGTCATCCATCAAAGTGATAACTGTGGCCTATATACATGAAAGCCACTTCATGACTTACAATCTATATTTTGAAAATAAATATATACAAATTAATCAAATTAAAGTGTCTGTTTGTAATTTCAAATTAACACTTTTTCGCTAAACGCCTATGGAAGTATATACGGAATTAATATAACAAAATTATTTTTTAAAGAATCTTGTCTGTTTGTTGTTGCTAATTTCTGAAATGGCTGGACTGTCTTTGACGGGGTTTTACTCGCAGGTAGCTAATGTAGGGATAATTTAAGCTACTTTTAATTTAGAAATCTTATTTATTTATTTAATAAAAATAAAAAAACTTAATTCTAGTTATCCAATTAAAAGCTATTATATTTATATATATCACATAATATCAGTCAATGGCAATTTATTAAAAAAAATGTTTCCAGATGCGCCTGTTACAAAGTACGTGGGCGGAGATGCTGAGCTTGATGCTGGCATATCGTTCCATGTCCGGTGGTGGTCCGCTACGACTGCGCTTCGCTTCAGATCTCACGCTCGACGAACAGCAGGCGAGGGACATCGGGGCCCATAACCTTTTCGCACAGGTTCGACTACCTACTAACTATTATGTTATAGGAGAGTTTCAGATCTAATTTATTCTTTGAGGTTACATGTTGTATTTTATTATAGGTTTTTTTGCAAGTAAGTTATTGTAGGAGTCTTTATTTTTGTTTATTATTGTTATTCGCAAATAATGACGCTTTCTATAGCTGAAACATTTTTAACGGCAGAATGGTTCTTAACGAAGACCGATTTTATCACAAGGAAGGACCTTATGTCCAGTGTGTTTACCATATTTTCTATGTATAATATATTAAATATGTATTTACAAAAAAATGTACCTGGATTTTCTATCATTTGTCTAGCATCCATAACATAAGCTCTGCTTAACTCGGGACTATATGACGGTGTGAATTGTCCTTGAGATAGTATTATTATTATATTTATCTCATGTTGTCTATAAGAAATTGCTGTGAGCGATAGATCCAGCTTTTGTTAACATATTTATATTAAGTTTTATGCACAATACAGAGTTGTTATTATTATCTCTAAGAAAACGAGTGTAGTTGCCGGTAACTTTTAGTATATTGTAATATATAGAATGCTGGAATTAAACAGGTGGCCGGCGTGACGAAGCGGCTGGAGAGCGCGACCGCGATGCGCGAGGAGTGCTACCTGCTGAAGGCGCTGGCGCTCGCCAACTCGGAGGCGCGCATCGACGAGCACGCCGCGCTGCGCAGGTTCCGGGATTCGATCCTCGCCGCGCTAAACGACGCGGTCTCCGTGCTCAGGTATATATACCATGCTTGATTGTTATAACTTTCGTGCTTTCCAACCCGCAATATTTTATGTTATATGGATTTGACGGGGAAATACTACTATTTCCCTGTCAAATCATCAAATTATGAAATTTTATCATAATCGGTTACTGCAGTGTTATAAAGTGACGTATTACACTCGTTTACACAAACATCTCGAAACATGTTTACATTGAAAAACAATTGTCGACATATGCCTATTTATATATCAGAGTTATTTTTAAGAAGCTGTTGATATAAACAATAGTTTCTTAAAAATAACTCTGATATATAAATATTTTTTATTTCGTGATTTCCTGAAGAACTTGTGAAAGTTATCATAGATTTTTCAAATGTTTGAAACAATAAGGTAGCATAAAACCGCAGATACTCCTTATATGAAGTGATATATTTTATCGTTCACAATATAACATCAGTTTATCTAATCACGCATGTTTTACAAATATAGAATCTTGAAACTTGAATAAATAATATGAACATGTTACAACAGGCCGTACAACGCGAATGCAGCGCTGCAGCAGCTGCTGTTAGTGTTGCCAGCGCTGCGGCACGCCGACGTAGCCGTCCGCCGCTTCTGGTCGGCCGTACACCGCGACCGTCGCGCTCCCATGAACAAGCTATTCATAGAGATGCTCGAAGCCAGTCTGCGGTAGGCCTAAATGCATCCAGACGAATTGAGTGAGCAAAATTAGTGTAACACGCGGAACTGAGTGAGCTGAATTAATGTAATACGCGGAACTGAGTGAGCGGAGTTAGTGTAACACGCGGATTTGAGTGAGCGAATATGTGACTATATAACCCGGGCGCCGGGTCGCGACTTTATCACCATCACAAATGCAACATATCACATTAAATGAGTATCATTTGCCATATTAGTCTGCATTTAATGTTTCCGCGTTCTTAAGTTGTGTGAATGTGTATTTAACCGGACTATTTTTATGGCTGTGAGTGGCAGGCGATCAGTGCAGCGGCTTATGTCATTATGTAAACTAATCTTGAGTATTAGTTCGTGACTCTCTTGTAAAGTTCTTCGTTCTTTTAGTTCATGATTCAGAGCCGATATGGTATATATATTGTTCTGTATAATTAAGATTTCTATAGTATTTTATCCAACGAACTAAAGAGCGAAGATCTGCCAACTAGTCACAGAACTACACGAGACTACAGTAACGTTTACGTAATAGAAATAGTCGCGTCCCCGCGCCATTAATGTACAAAACAATGGACATATGTAGTACAAACTCGTTACTATTTTTGTATATTATTAAAAAAATATATCTAGTTTTACTGTGCGGTATGGTTTGAGATTAGTACGGTCGTGGGAATGGTCAGCTGTTCAATTCACACTAACAAGTTAGACTGCACATACTGGATGGTTAATCAGCAGGTCTACTTTGGTGTCTAATTTCAAGATCCATTTCAATCCAAATCAGTATTGCATCAATCATTTGAAACGTAAACTAAATAATATCAGTTAGTACAATAATTAAGTATAAAATAAGGAATTAATATGTGGCCAATTCAACGGTGGTCTAGCGGTTTAGCACCTTCGCTTTTCCGATGGTTGCGGGTTCGATTCCTCGCACAATGCAAACATTTGTATTTATGAGAATGTTTGTATCGGTCTGAGTGTTTACTATGTATATTATGTATGTACTTACAAAAAAATATTTATATATATCAGTTATATAGCAATCTTATGAGTACTAGACAGTTGTATAGTACTAGACAACTGATATAATTTTTTCTACAAGTTCGACTTAGCTTGGGATTACATGGCGCTATGTAAATTGGCCTGGATTATTATGATTATAAATGACACGATTAAATTGGATCGGCTTCAGTTTCCAGAGTAGACCGGCAGTTGTTTTCCAAACATAGTTACTGGTAACTGTTTTTATTTTATAGTAGAGTTAGTTAGAACACTGGTGGGGTTAATTAAAAATACAGTTTAATATTACAAATTCGGGCCTATAAAAGAAAAACCTAGTTGTAATAGATTTATTTGTTGTGTCACTTTGTTGCAATTGTTAAGATGATGATGTTAATGATATAATTTATTAATGTCACTATTATTTTTATGTATTACTACCGTAAGTTTATTTCCCCGCGACTTTTCGCGTATAACCTTATTTTTTTTCTATATTTAAATAAATAAAATTTCTGCAAGTGGAAGTCCCGTTAAAATTGGTCCAGCCGTTTCAGAGATTAACAAAAACAGACAGACAGACTAAAATTTGCAATTAATATTTTTTTTGGTTTATATAAGGTCTGTATATACTTCCATAAGCCTTTAGTGAAAAGTTGTTAATTTGAAATTACAAACAGACACACATTTATTTATTTGTGTAGATAGTGATGTGTAGTGTAGCTTTTATTGAATTGGAGCGCATATCGTGAATTGCCACTTTCCCCGACTGTACAATGTAAATACGGTGAATGCGGGGGCCGTATTCGGCGCATTTATCATAAAAAAATGTTGTTTTATTTCTAATTTTGTTTTAAACGTTAATTAGCGACAATAGGAACTGTTTATACTGTGTTAGAGTTTTATGCGATTAGAATTGCAAATTCATATTCTATTATTGATAGATCACACAGTGGATTTGCTAATTTTGACATTAAATAGGATTTAATTTCGAAATGGCTTCCTATAGAAAGGTTGCGCATAGAAATAATGATATGCGTTCACTATTAAAACCTAAATGGTAGTAATAAAAAACTTAAGATATTTATGTAAATTGTTAAAAATTTTAAACCGAAAACGGCCCATTAAAATTTTTATTTGTCAATTCTAAACTGTGATATGATGTAAATAATGGCTATTATATATTTGAAATATATATTATACATTTTATTTGTATTCAATATATAATAATTCTCATTTCGGCTGTAGTATAAACAGTCCCTATAATACCTTATTATAATTTGTACGTGTATTACAACAGATTGTTAATGGAAGAGGATTTATTTAAAAGGTTGTCATTATATTATGGGATAATTCGTTGAGCTGTTCCACTGATGTAATTATATTTATACATTGAAAATTATATATATATTTTGGAGTGTTGCCAGCCTAATGTACAATATTGTTAATATGAACATTTAAATATATTCTGTATATAAAAAAAAGTTATGTAGATTGATATAATATATATATGTGTCGTGGAACAGTAATAAATACCTCAATACCTGTTACCAATCACAATATATCAGAATATATAACATTGTATAGCGGAAATAATGAATATTAATATCATCAAATGATATATTTACAAAATTAAGTAAATGTTGAGCTTACAAACCATTTGTAGAATTCTTTGTGAGTGAGGGAAAATGACGTAAGTGACGATGTTATTCCAGTGAATTAAAAGTTTTGTTGTAGTAATTCTTATGTTAAGAATATTTACTTTATTTATAGTTTTTAATAGTTTTTTCCGTATGCTGTGGTGTTCTTGACGTGTGAACGCTGTAGACAGATAAGAGATGTGCCACATGTAGATGTTAAGTTTATTCTATTCGACGTTGTTGGTCTGCGATTACTTAGTTATGGCGGGACAGCTGTGGCTCAAACAACCACGGAATAATATATATATAATACAGTATAGCTATTGACATTTATCGATTTACAAATCTAAAATTGGGTTAAAATACGTAATACGTTGTTACATATAAATATGAATATGGTCAGATTTTAAGCTATATGAAGGGTAACAAATTTGTTTATACAATCAAGACAATTTTATTTATGAATTACGTCACATTTAGAGTATGAAAGTGTCATTAGAACCGTGAAAGTATTTAAATGTATTATTAATTAGCAAAATTAAATACATTACCAACTCTGTATGTATGAACATAAAGTTTGTTGTTATTTTAATTGTTTTGCTGGCTAATTTCGATACTAACGTCTTTTATTATTTAAAATATTTAATAAGATGAATATCTAAAATATTTAATATTATTTTATTTATTTTACTTATTTTTTTTATTACATATACAGTGAATCCTATAAATATGAACAGCTGGAATAAGAAAAGGGAGATCAAAAATATATGAAATACATGTGATGTAATTAAAAAAAGACTAGTTTTGTATGCATAATTTATCTGCAACGATTCATAAAGCAGAATTAATTATTGATGCATGCAAAATTGAGAATTCTGACTATAGCAGATACAGAGGCAGCTAGGTACGATCTGCTGTTGTTTAAGCCATAGCTTAGGGTGTACTTACACGGTCCACAGTTCACCAACTGTACCTACTGTACACGTTGGTTACAAAGCTATGAATATAAATGGAATTGTGTACACGGTAGAGCTCGAGAGTTACGCAATCTCATTACTATTGGTAGTTGTTTAAGCAATGTAGTTAGTCATCTGTTGATCGTGTAATTAAACCCTTATTCTCGAGGCGGATTGCGTGCAGTTGCATTTCGCTGCGGTGTGTTGTTAAGATATGTTTTTGTAGGAGATATGCACCTGCGATATGAATGGACATATTTACATTGTGTGAATTAGGACTTTATAAATACTAATATAGAAGACACGTTCAGACTCTATAGTATATTTTTAGCATCACAGAAAAACATCAAAGAAAAGGGAGTTAAAATAATAAAAAAATAAAAAGAAAAAAGTAATGTAGTCTGTTTTTGGCAACATTGCCTTTCATTAATTCCGAGGCGCGTGTATGTAGAAAAAATAATTTTTATATGAAATCGTGCATAATTTTTTTTTGAATTTCATATTTGCAAGAAATTGTTTGTAAATTAATTTTTGAAGATTTCGAGGTCATAAGCGAATATGAGCCACTCAGCAAAATAGTTTTAATATGAAATAGTACAAGTATTATTTTAGTTTAACGCATGCTAGTGCTAGATAGCTAGATTTAATTTAGCTTACGTTCTTATAAGTGCCAACTGCTAAACATAGTGTTTCTTTGCTCAGTGTGTATAAATTTCTTGACAGTCTCTTATAGAACATTACATATACAACACGTCGCCGGGGCATGCAACATCGCACGCGATCTGCCAGAGTTGAGATCCGAAACTTAGTTAAGTATAAAAATGGACTGGAACGTGTAAATATTGTTTTTATATTAGCGTAATCTCAGATCAAGGAGTAGGAGTCCAAAATCCTTACCCGTGCCCGTGTCTTATTTGTATTTAATGAATTCGTACCTTTTTCTTTATATACTGTTATTAATTGTGACCTGATCCTGGTACTATGTGAAATAAATTATAAAACGGTAATAATTGTACTTTTATTTTTTGTATTCTTGTATAGTTGACGCCGAAACTTTGCTTGGATAACATTCATCTAAATTAACAAACTAATTAGGGTACTTACTAATAACTATAACTCTTTATTGCCTACAAACAAAACACACTGTTTGAAAATGCATTATAAAATGTCCTATGAAGTTTTTTACTGACAACTTTTATATTTTATTACTTTAAATCAATATTATAAACAATTAGAAACAGTGAAGCAACTAATAGAATTTCAAAGATAAATACCAATTAACAGAAATATTAATATTTTATATTTATAATCTGTGGAATTTAGAATCAAAATAAATTTCTATTTAAAGAATTTAAACAGATAAAATTGATTCAAATTTGCCGGCATTAGAATAAGTATTAAATAGCTAAATAATACTTGAGGTTATCAATATTCATATTTTATTACAAAACATTATTTAATATTTACAATCAGTCCATTTAAATGGTTAAACTATAGCAAACTGGTCGTACAACAGCTCCCTGACTTTGTAATATTCTTCTGAGAGCACGCCTTCTAGCGCCACACGGCCGTTCTCCAACTGTGAAAGAAACAATCATTTTAACCGACTGTCAAATGTAAATGGAGGTCACAAGCTGACAACCCACCTAATGGTAAGCGGTCACCTTTATATATTTGTACAGCACTACGAATATCACGTTATAATGTCATATCTGTGGTACCATTCACGCGATGCCATTCCAGAAATAGAAATTATTAATATAAGCAATTTGAATTGTCATATTTTTTATTCTACCACTAATTCAGCACGTAGACTCATCAGAAGAAGAATGCGGAATAAACTCGCGTGTTGCTCTTTTGAATAAATGTTCCGAGTTACATTTTTCAGAATTTTATATGAATACAAACTGTCACGTAGACATAATTGACATAGATAAATAAATAGTCAATTGAGTAACAAAATAAATGAATCATAGTTATCAGAGCAGACCAGTCCCTAGAAGCAGCACCCGTTCACGAGTATAAGTTATAAGACACCTCGGTGTCAACCGCTAAGCTTATTGTCATGCAATCATCATCTAGGCCTTCGTGATACACTTTTAAGTATTTGCTTGACAATAAACTGCCATTATAGCTTGTCGGCTGAAATAGGTTGACCCCTAGTTACACGAGGTTACAGTATTGTGTATGGTGTGTTACCCTGCGTATGGCGAGCGTGCCGTTGCAGCACTCGAGCGCGCCGCCCACGAACTCAGCGGCGAGTCCGAGCCGCGCCACCGCCGCACGCAGCTCCGACAGACGCACGCTGTTCACGAACGACGCTGCGTGCGCACTGCCCGCACACGGCTCCAGGGACATCGACACCTCCATACTAGACTCCTCTGCAATATTTAATAATAATATCTCAGAACATTTTTTTTATTATGTATTTTTATGTTATACTTTTACCCACTTTATATTATGTATGTTTTTGTGTAAAATAAATAAAATAAAAAATATAATATTGTTAAATATTATTCACACAGCGTTATCTAGTTTCAAGCTAAGCAGAGAGCTGTTACCTAGGCAACTGTTATATTTATATTGTAAATACATATATATACATACTATACATAAAACCACTCAGACCGATACAAATAATAATAATAATCTCAGGATAATTCACACAGCGCCACCTAGACCCAAATTAAGCTAGTAAAATCTTGTGTTGTGGGTACTAGATAACTGATACAAAAACATCGATTTTTTCGTAAATACATACATATTATAGATAGAAAACACCCAGACCGATACAAACAATCATACTTATGAATACAAATATTATAATTGTTGTCTATGTATAAACATAGACAACAAGACCAATACACTCATACTCATAAATATAAACGTTTGTACCGTAAATATAAGCGGTGTGTTAAACCGCTAGACTTCCGAGGCCGTAATAGAACAGTTACATAGTCCACGTACATTTAATTCATCCTTTATTTAACACGTTAAAGACTGCATGCCCTGACTGGCAAAGACTGGTGCACACGGACATAGGACAGGAAGATCACCTGTGGGCACTTTAATTGAAATTAAACTAGGAGTTAAATAATGTCTACCTCGAATTATTGTACACTACGAACATATTTAAAAAATAATATACCAAATTAACAAAAACAAAAACCCAGTCCCTATGTGAGAAATAAGATTTTTCAATGCGATCTTCAACGTGTTAATTATCTTATATAATTAACTTAAGAATAAAATAACACGTACCATCACCCGGCGCCGTCTCCCGTGAGCGAGCGCGTGGTGCGAGCGTGGCCGCCACCCAGGCGAGCTCGGCGTCCCCGGCCGACCGCCACGACAGCTGCGACAGCAGACTGTCGGTCAACTTCACCTGCAAATACCACAAACATATATGACTAATGTATATCGAAATAAACTTATTTTGAGCACACGAACAAAAATAATAAAAATGTAAATTTATTTAAAATTTTAATCTCAATCGATCTCACAACTGAGTTGCGGGTAAATAACTGGAAAAGAAGGGCTGAAGATCGTACCCAGTGGCGTGCCTTGAGAAAGGCCTATGTTCAGCAGTGGACTGAAGTTGGCTAATGATAATGATTAAAGCTCTTCATTTAAATTATCAATAAAGATTAAAATTAAAAATTTACAACACTCTTATTTATGTTATAAACGCGAAAGTTTGTGACTATGGATGGATGTCTGTTACTCTTTCACGCAAAAACTACTGAACGGATTATGATGAAACTTTACAGTAATATAGCTTATACGCATAGGCTGTAATTTTAAAAGATATTATGTAAACTATAATGATATATGTCAAGTGGATGTGATGTAGACGAAGTTGTGCGGTTCAGCTAGTATAATATAACTAGCTGTGCCCGTGGTTTCACCCGCAATAAATTTTAATATAAAATATAGGGTATGTGTTATTCTGATGCATAAGTTATATTATATCATATTACAAGTTTCATCAAAATCCGTTCAGTAATTTTTGAGTGAAAGATCTATACTTACAAACTTTCGCGTTTATATATAAATGTACCTTGAAATAAACTTATTTAGAACACTTTTACCTCACGAACAAATAGTAAAAATATAAATTTATTTCAATATAATAATTATATTTGACGGCCTCGGTTCGGCCACGGCTAGACCCGTGTAGCATACGGTGCGAGAGGCGTAAGAAGGGTAATATTCAAGAAATATTTAACGGAGGGGGAGTTACGATATTCAGCTAACGAGCCGATATTATAAAGATAAGAGCTAATATATTAGGATATATAACAAGACTAAATAACAAAACAAGTGAACACTAAACACTCCGCTGGTTCACTATTCCAGTAAAATAAAATTGATACCTGGTATATATGAGACTCTGTGGTCGCGTCTATGGTTTCTCCACATTTGGGAATGAATATTTTTTCTATGCCTTCAGCTTCACAGTGTTTTCTGTAACAAAATAAAAAAATATCGGTTAATTTTCTACATGAAATGTATTTTATAAATTGTTTTCCAACATTATGTATTTTCTTTTCGTCGGACAATCTATTGACAATAAACTGTCATTATTGCCGTCGACATTCGCTGTTACTGCTGTTAATCGTTAGAACCAAAGAAAATATAGTCCATTGTTTATGAAGAGAAATCGTGGTTACTATTTTTTTTTACTACAACAATACACCTTGATGGTATCGTTTTTCGACGGTTATCGTAGCCTATGGACGCTTGAAACCCTTGAAGTTAGACTACACGTATTAGGCAACTGACTCGCTGTCGCACCGCGCCTCCAGCTCGACGTACTGGATGTTTATGTCCACCTGACAGTAGTACAACTGACCGCAGCGTGGCGAGCGCGGCGGGCCCGGCCCGCAGTCCGAGCACGCGGCGCGGCTTGGCCTGCGCCACCACCCGCAGCAGCGACTCGCCGTCGCAGCGCCCCTCCAGCTCGATGTACTGGATGTTCGCCTTCACGTGCACCTGCCGCATGGTCGTCACGCACTTGCTCGGGATCTCGATCATCTCCTCTGTGGATCACGTTCATTTATCTAATTTATTGGATCATGTAGGTCAAATATTGCATTCGATAGTAGTTAATTACATCTAGTCCTCATAAATATAACAAATAATTTAAAGACATACTAGCGGAGGATAGTAATCAGATTAGTGAGCAGTCTCATCGTGACGAATTGACCAAAAACAACCACGACGCTTTTTAGAACGGACCGCGTGGAGGTGTACTTGAGAATATTCTCAATATAGGATGGTATTTTAAGTAAGGATTTATACCACTCCTTACTTAAAATACCATCCTATAGTAAAAAGTTCGCTATCTAGTTCCAATCTAAGCAGAGAATAACAAATACTTAAATAATTTTATTCTGTAAATACAAAAATAATACATCCGGACGTAACAATGATGTTGATAATATTAAGACTCACTAGACAACTGAAATACTTTTTAAATACATACACAAGCGTAAACATTGACTGCCCTTGACATGTCCAGATTTCTCTGGGTATATTTGAAAATATGCACGGCAAAAACCAACTATGTCAACAGTAAGCAATGCTGGTCCAAGTGGAATCCAGGGTGGTCTCTCTGATTGTTTTTTTTAAATATTCAGAATAAACGGCTGAATAGATTTTAATGAAATTTGGAGTGAAGATAGATTGTATAAACAACTAGTTCAATCTAAATATTAATTGGACATACCGTCAGGTTCGATTTTCGGTGGCGGTGCGGGTGGTACATCGCGAATTTCTCCTTCAGCGTCCACTATTTCAGCCAATCTGTAGTCTTCAGGCTGAAAATAATTTATATATGTACATTTTTTATGTAATTGTAAATTGGTTGTCAGAAGGCCGCATGATGGTAAATGGAAGCCTTTATATATGAATAGCACTACGAACATCAGACACCACTTATGAGTTGATACTCCGGAGGCCTAAGATGCCTTTTATCCTGTAAAGTCACTGTCCTATCTCACCCTTAACTGCTTACAAAGTAAAGTTTCACAAAGCGTCGTCGTCAAGGCTTAAATCTTAATATACCCTTCGTGAAAAACCCCATGCTGTAGTGTCTAGAGAAAATGTCGGCAGGTAATTCATTCCACAATTGAATGGGTTAGAGCTACATTATGGGCCCAGGCTCGAGTGTAGTTTGGGCTATTTTCAGGTGCCAAGACCTGTATAGATCTATTGTGCTCGCCCTTATTCAAAGTTCGCTACCTAGACCCGTGGGTGACAAGAATTGGAGGATATTCTTAGGAATGATGGTTTTTATCTCCTCAGGATATAGTGTATACTTTCCCAATGAGATATTTCGTTTATGCATGAGAGGGCTACAACCACATAAATGTGTAGTGGCGTTTCCTCTTCTGCTTGGCAAAATCTGTAGATTGATGTTAAGATAAGGCCTAATTTCGCCATGTGCTTATTCAGCTTGCAGTGTCCAGTGAGGGCCCTAGTCAGCCGCGAGTGTCGTTACCTTGATGATCTCGCCGTAGTCGTCGGTGCGCGTGCGCTCCTCGTGGAACGGGTACATGGCGTGGTGCCGCTTATTGGCCTTGAAGCACCCGGAGGGCCGCGCCGCGCCGCGCGCCGGGATGTCGTGGCGGCCTGTTACCACCCACATCTCCAGCTCGCCCTCCGAGTCAGAGTCCGACGACAGCCCCGCCGTCTCCTCCCTGCACACACAGTGGACTTGAACTAGTCATCCTCTGGGTCCGGGCCTCGACCGTCTGCTCATTACCCAGGCATACTGATGGGGTGAACCACCCCCAGTGTTGTTCATTTGCCTATGGGCGAAGTCGACTATAGTTTTGCATTTTTTAGGTTATTTATTGGAAATATACATCACATTTAAGGTTTGTAAAAATGTTAATTAAAGTTTGTATGGAGATTCGTCATTTTTGAAGCTGCGTTTTTTAGGTTACATTATTCAATATTTTATTTTATTCGGTTAAGGTTACTATTCCACATATACTAAGTGGCGGGCACAGCTAGTAATATATACAATAATAGCACTACGAACATGACAACACTACGTAACACCCAATTTAAATAAAAAAGTATAGATTTTAGGACGTCAAGTAAGGAGAGAAGTATAAGTAGGAAGTTTACTTTATAGAATTGTTGATCTTGAGCCTCTGATGCTGTAGGTAGTCCTCCAGCTCGGCACCCTCGAGCCTCAGCCGCCGCCGCACGGGCAGCTCCAGTATGCGGTCTCCGCCATTCTCCGCCAGATCCCGAGCCAGTGTGCCAGGGGACGTTCTGGGAATTTCCGAATGTGACTTTATTTCTTTTTAGACTACAATGATGGCAAACAAGCAAATGGCTCATCATAATAATAGTACATTATTATACCACTGTTGCTCACAGGCTTCTCGTATTGTCAAGAGTTTAGCATATTTTAGCATGGTGGCTTCGTTTATAGCGTCTAACCCGTATCATTAGTGGGGATATCAGTATTCGTACGGAAAGTGCAGATCTCTTTTTAACCTATTTGATGGTAAACATTTACCGTAGCCTATGGATGCCTGAAATAACTGTGCCGGCGATGAAGTCACGTCTACGTTGACGACACTTATATAATTGGAATGACAATGAAACTGATGGTAAGCGATAAGCTACGCCTATATACATTAATAGCACAAGAGACATCACATTGTCTTGTGACTCATGCATTGACATCCAGAGGAATAAGATGTCATGCCTCTTATCCTGTAATTTTACTGCCTAATCTGCACCCTACAACTGGAAAACAGCTTACAAAGAAGAAGATGCTTGGCGGCTGTAGACGGATGAGGTTTATTTGAGGGAAGACTATTTTCTTACTTTTAATACTTTTTTTAAAAAAAATGAAAGGCATTCAGCTGCTTTATAAGTCTTTCTACGAGTTTGGATTGCCATCTGCACTCTCCCCCTAACGTTCTGTGAACCTATAAAGCCAGCTGTGGCCAACAGTATTAGAATACTTCAAAAAACCCCGCTATAAATAAAGACATATACATACTTACCGTGCTGTTAAAACAATCGAGTTAGACGGATGCGGAGCCCATTGAAGGAATAGATCTCTGGCGAAACCAGTTTCTAAGTCAGGGAAGGATGCTAGCACCACCTTGGGGCCTGGTGTCCTGACTACCTCAGCTACTGAATGACACAGTTGGAGGTGGCGTAGTGCAAACGGGTTGCTGCGGGCACCTTCGAACGCACGCGTCAGTTTGTCACTCATCCATTCTATCTGTAATGTTCAATAATAATTCTTTAAAAATATATAAAGTGATAAAACATAAATAGTAAGCTATTACCGCCGCTCATGAGTACCTGCAATAACAGGGTAATTGCAAGTGCGTTGTCGGCCTTTAAGAAGAAATATGCTCGATTCTTAAAGGTAACGAAATACTGTTGCTGGAAAGTCAATCTACAATATGGTTTTGTGTGGGATAGAGGTTTCGGAACGCATGGTGGAGGAGCACGCACGGTCCAGATGATCAGGATGGTATTTTAGTTTCTAGTGGGCAGTAGAATGGTGAAATTCACACACCCAGACCGATACAACAATCACAGAAAGGTTTGCACTATATGAGGAATCGAATCCGCGACATCGGAAGTAAAGCATTTTGGTAAGTGTGGTAACATTGATCTCCAGCCATGTCCAGCAGTGGAAAATTAGTATTTTATTTTTATTTTAAGTTTGAACATTATTAAGGTTCTATTTTCAAAGACTATACTTCTATTTGTAGGTACTGGGTAAATAGGTACTGTAGGGTTACTGGCAATCGCACAGTCAATAAACAAAAGAGCATTTATATACCCTTGTGTGTCAAATACATGGTACTGTGTGTGTTGTTTATTTATTAAATTAATGTATTTTGTTTTTATGGATGATAAAATAAATATATTAGCAATCTGCACTCTCTTTATATATAAATTGTAAATGTGCGACATTTCATACTCCACGTACGCGCAAATCTAAAGGTACAATGTAAATAGGTGTACAAAGTCTTTGCTTCACATATTAATATAACATACATATTAAAATATATTATAAAGTACATGTTATTCTGATGTATAAGTTATACTACTGTACATATTCATCAAATCCGTTAAGTAGTTTTTGCGTAAAAGAGTAAAACATCCATCCATACTCACAAACTATAATGTTTATAATATTAATAATATCATCTTATTTATAAAATAATTACCTGTGATTTAGCAAATTCAACAACATTATAGCTGACGTTAGACAGCAGTAGCAATGAGTAGGCAACCAGCCCCGAGTCCTTGTTCCTCCACAGCTGGTCCAACATGTGCGCCAATTCTAGCACACGGCCAGCTGTATCCGTGCAGACAAGAACGCAGCCACCACCACGGAGTGTTGTGAGGATTGTCGCTAGGAATTAGTAACTATTTTAAACCAGTGTAGAAAACAGATTTAAATTTCTGATGAATGATTTAGTACTATGCAGATTGCTATTTTTTTAATAAATAAAATCCAGGCTTGTGCATGAGTACATGCTAGAGAATTGATTAAATTAATTGTAAATTCTAAAATCGTGTCGAGGCGAAATTTCGAATATTGTGAATTGAAATTCTTTTAAATAGTGGCTAAAGAAGGCTGGAAAGATACCCTTCTCCCAAAGGGGAAACTATTTAAATTTGAGAGAAATGTCAATACTACCTACAATCTTATTATGCAATTATATATACCATAAACTATAGTATCCATAATGAGTGTGTGTGCTATATAACCAACTTAAAAATATTATTATAGTTTTATTGTAATTTGATTTTTTATAATTCCATGTTATTAATTGACCATAAACTTCTTCTCTCTTTCTTTCTAATAAAAAAAATGTTTATAAAAATAACACTTACTCATTAGCTTTTCATCTCTTAGTCTTCTCCTCTGCTGGACATAATCCGCATTCATTGCACCTAATAATAACAGTGATGGTCTCATTAACTTCTCGATTTCACAGCCATTGAGATGCCTTTCTTTCTTGTGGTTGAAGTCTGGTGCATATACAATGTCTTCCTCTCCTGGTGCTGCTATGCGCCATACTGTGCCACCAAGGGAGTGGCCCGCTGGCAGTGGTGTGATACGAACACCTAGACCTTTACCTTTAAACAAAAATAAGATTTTATGTAGAAATGGAGAATGAAAGATATTTTATCACAAAAGATTAGAATATCAGGTTTGTCAGGAGAATGATACAGTAAAATTGATATATAACACTGCTATATAAACCATTGTGATAAATTGATTCGCAGCCCGCCAGCATAAACCATTAGTGGATGTGGGTGTACCATTATCAATTAAATAATATAACCACATAGTATGCTAATATTCTTCTTAATTCTTATATATTAATATCTTGTGGAGACAGAAATACCCAATTGTAGGCTGATAATGTATAATATGTATAATCATTAATCTTCAAATAAATGAAGAATGAAAGAATGAATATTTTACATGTCATGTAGCTAAAATATTCATAAAATAACTATACTATATTACTTTCCAGAAAAAAATAAAGTTACTAAATTTTAAAATAAGAACAAAATGAAACATTAATAAAAGAAAAAAAAAATTAAGTTACAAAATGTAAAAATGAGAACAAAATGAGACATTAATTAAAAAACAGTACTATACAATTCTTCAGAAAATAAAAGTAATATAAAAATATAGTTAGTAAATTTTAAATTAAGAATAAAATGAGATGACTATTGTCTCATTTTGTTCTACAAAAATTACTATGACAATTATTTACCTTTCATATCTATACTCTGGTTGTATTTCAACTGTGTTATCCTATCAAATGCAGCATCAACATCATCCAATGTGAATAGATCAAAGTCGGACACATTTCTGTGTGCCTGATATAAATCATACATGAACATTTGGCCCATTTTGTAAATCGGTAATGTGGCATATATTGGGCAATTCAGCCCAAGTTTTCCAACTGCATATGGCAGTGCCCCAAGATGTAGGGGATCGGAGTGAGAGAGTAGTACTGCGTCTATGGAGTTTACATGCCTGGAATAAAAAAAATACATATATAAAAGTAAGTGATTAATATAACATTTCTTTGGCCACTGTCAATATAAATTTATGTTTTGAATATTAGTTTTAAAACAGATATGTACTTATCTATACTGATGGTAGTTTTTGACATATTATAAGAGTCTGTAATAGACCTACATGATTAAAGATAGTCTGATTTGATTTGATCTATCCATATAACAAGGTATTATCTACATTAATAGTATCTATATTTGAGTACAAAGTTTTTTAATATTATGTCAGTATATTTATATCAATTCCTTTATTTTATTATATTTACCTAAATTCTTTTCGACAACTAATTTACATATGTAACATAAACATAAATTTTTACTTTTGTCATCAGTGCCCATAAAATAATTTCTGTATTGGACTGCCTCAATTATCAAATTATGTAGCAGTTTAGCACATCACTTTATTTCCAATAGCCAGCTATTGGGTTTGTTTCTTTTCATAGTGCAAAACATTTGTATTTATAAGTATCATTGCTTGTATTGGTCTGGGTGTTTTCTAAGTATAATAGGCATGTATTTACAAAAACATAAATGGAGTTGTCTAGTACCCAAGCAGAGCTTGTGTTATACAAGTTCTCCTTAGGTCTAGATGGTGTTGTGTGATTTGTCCTGAGTTATTATTATTTACTCAATGGTTAATTGGTGCAGAATGCAATACGGTATTAATTATTATTTGTCAATTGTACAACTTTAATCGCTAATTGTGCTATAAAGAATAAATAAATAAAACAAATCTACTAACAACAACATAACCTAAAAATGTTACCTTTTCAATTCTCCTATAAAGTTCATATCAAACTTTTCGTCCCAACCGCAATCTAGAAGGAACTTGAATTCGTCAATTTGCAGAACGTAGCATGGTGGGGACTCATCTCCAGCACCGGAGATACAGTGTACCTTGATGATGGAAGTCATCTTGCTGAACCGGTATGAGCCTCCGTTGTGATTACATTAAAAATCTTTAGTACATGCTTTCCACCTACGTAAAAAATATTTTCTAAATAAAAAGCAGATATTAAAGCAATAATTTAAAATGAAAGAAAAAGTACAAACAAAGCAAAAACTTCTATTACGTACAACCGTCACTTACACAGTTGACATTCATTGACACTTTTTTTTATCTTTATAGTAACGGCAAAGAGTCTAAGCTCATACAGCCGTCATTTGGCACTTATAATGTCAGACCTTGGCTGAGTTGTATAGATCTTATTTATTGAACTTGATTAATTAAATTTAGAGGAAAGGAAAATCAGTCTAATCTTTGCTGTAAATTACACTTATATATACAAAAATTTAAAATTAACTTACTGCTTATCTTCAAACGTATTGTCACGAGTTCTAACAATAAGGCATTTTGTCCCTTTCTCAATGCAGGTAATTTTTTTATGTAATGGAAATGGGAAACAAGCGGCGCACCTGATGGTAAACGGTAACTTTCACCTATATACATGAACAGCACTACGAACATCACGTCATCATGTGACACTCGTGATCAATTGTTACCATTCCATTACCATTCCTAAGATATCCTGCCACTTATCCTGTAGTTTTACTGCCTATTCACTGTACAACCAAAAAAACTGACAAAGCAAGCTGTTTGTCGGCTGCAATAGACGAAACTGGGATATCCACAGTAATCCACACAGACTACCCAACAAAACTATTATTTAGTTAATATAAAGTTTTTCGATTATATTCAATAAAATATACAGTCATTGAATGTTGTTTGTATATTATATATTTGTAAAGAACCTCTTTATTTATTTAACTATTTAATACGGGGTCGATCATTTAAAACTAAGTGAAACAATAACTTGTTATAAAAGTACATATATGAAGAATGTTTTTTTTTATTTTTTTTTAAATATGGCTTACTGCCGCCAACCGCTGTCGACCCGCAATTTTATAAATATTTTTACTCTTATTTACAATATAATAAGAATTGTAACTGAGCGCTGGCACATGGAAGATATTTTAAAATATTATTGGAGGATTTAAACAAAGTTTGTATTAAAACTTAAAATTACCTACCTTTTAGCTATGTTTGTGCATGCTAATAAAAAAAAAAGGACTTAAACGATTTGGTTGACATATTCACTAAAGTGCGTAAGCTTAAGTACTGACGTTTGACTTTACAATCATTTTAAAGATAAAAAAAATATGAAAGATTAAAACGAAGAAGTCGCGGATTCAGGTAGTTTTATATAATAATATGCAGATATAAACAACGTTTGCAAAGGTAGCGGATTCAAAGTCATAACTTACGACCGCCTATTTACAGATAAATGGGTTAGATAAATCTACCTTTTCCACGTTTAAGGTCCTTATATAATATGGGTATGGATAGCAGTAATAAAAGTAAAATGATACAATTAGAATTATACAAAATGTATATTTTTTCTATTAAATAAGTATTCGGTGAACGAGCTGATGATACGGTATCAAACATTACACTTTTACATTTATATTTCTTCTTCATTTTCTCCAATAAAAATAAAACGGTCTATTTAGATAACCTATATCTCATAAAGAAATCTAAGTCATCATATTTATTAAAGGTATTTTATCGTTCGCGGTAAATACGTGGTTTCCTAAATAATCTGTGGTTAAATAGAAAGAAGAAAGAAAGAAAAATAGCATATGTAGATATGTTTCAATCGCTTCCAAACTCTCTTCAAATATTCATTAATAGAAATATTTATTAATAGAACTCTGCATTTAGTGAAATAATTAATGACACGCAAAATTTGGTTAGACCAGTTGTCACCAAAGCTAACCATTTGGTGACAATTGGTCTAACCAAATTTTACGTGAAAATGGAGTGAAATATCGAACTCCTAAAATATAAGGGACTAAAGACTTAGGAGTCACCTAAAGGTTGGTAAAAATGAATTTCATACGAAATTGAACCCCTAAACTGGCATGGCGTTAAGTGGCCTTTAAACTTAAGTAAAAGTTGGTGAAAACGGGCATACGACTCTTAGGGGTTTTTTAGTGTTGATAATGGAGTGCATCAGTGGAGGACGATAAGATGACTATGAGGTCAGGTCAGATAGCCCATCGTGACATATTCACCAGGAATTCAATATGATGGTTTCCAGGGGGAACCGCGGCCGCGTGGAGGTCAACCTGATATGGTACATTGCTAGCAATGGGGTTATCAATCCCCTTCCCCTTTAGGGGAACAAAAAGAAAAAAAAGATACCATGCCGCTAAAATAAAATAAAGTAATAACGCGGTCCGTCGCGATGCAATGGGAAGGGGACATGCCTGTAATTTTTAAAAAATTAAACAGCGGGTGAAACCCTGGTACATTGCTAATTCTCTAGAATTTCCTTTGAATTGCGTCACGGCTGCTATGCACGCTCCAAGCGTGTCTACGTAGATATTCACGTAGCAGAATGCGGAACGCGTAGGTACGTCACGCTACAGCGCTAAGTGGTGTGGTTCGTCACTACGCACTAGGGATGTAATAGTGTAACGACAAATGGAATATTCGTACTCGTTACTAAAATATTGTTATTTTACTAGTTACTTTGTTACAAATGTTATTTTATTAGTTGTTACAAATGACAGCCATCATTTTTTTAGGCCGTACCTAATTATTCTAGTTTTTATACAATACTCTTCTTGTTTTTTATAGGAACTAAATACTTGGATTTCTATTTAAATTTAATTACATATTTGTACAGGATTGTCTTATCCAGTAAGTTTGAAATAACTTTTAGTGCTTAGTCTTAGTCTTATATAAATAAATAGTTTTAATTTTACTATCAGGAACAAGATAACAGCAGTAACTATAATAACTATCTAACTATGTACAGTACCTACGCTACATAACTCATTAGAATACTATAAGCACTATGTAACTGGTAACTTCAAGAATTTAAAAATACTGATACGGTACTTTGGTACCTGAGCTATAGTCGTTACTTTATACCGAGTAGGTACGTACCATTTGCAACAGCTCTAGTAAGCGTATCGCGTGACATGTAAGTACGCATTACATTGATATATATCGTTACCTGCCTACGCTAAAGACAATATCTCCGAGCCATATAGTTTATGTAATATACAGAGCTATTATAATCATAATACTAAACCAAGATCCAACGACAGTATTATAATAATTAAGGGCCATCTATGACTACATATAACAAATTTCATGTTTTTTTATACCCCTTGTTTTTCTCACAGCTGGTGAATTTTGTGAGACGCTTGGTTCTTTGTCAGACCGAGTGTAAACACGCCAACAAAACAGCGACAAATGCGTTTATCCAGTACTTTATAAAAATAAGTTTAAAGTTTTCTAAACTTTGAATTATTTTTAAAGGTGTAACGTATTTTATAGCGTGGACGTATTCCTACTAATAAATTAAAATGAATCTATTTTCATTCGTCACAACATAACTTGAGAAGTATTTATACGACTGCATTCAACTTTTATTTTCTACTACTTTGTAAAATATATACTTAAAATATGTACTTACGTCTTCCATAATAATAAAAAAAAATATTTTAGAAATTTTAACGATTTTTTTACTAATTTTTACTTAGTATAAAATGATATCGCTTACGCTGTTTGTTCGCTTAGATCTTTTAAACTATGCAATGGATTTTAATGCAGTTTTTATCTGATAGGGTGATTCAAGAGGATGGTTTATATGTATACATGTTCACCCGTGTGAAGCCAGGGCGGGTAGTTAGTTATAAAATAAAATATTACTCAATATAGTTATCCAATATTGCTGAAGGTTTCCTGCATTTATATTGGTAATATCAGCTGAATTTACCGATGTAGACAGTCAACGAAATAGGAAAAACGGTGCAGCCATCGTACCGTAAAAACCAAATTTACAAATTGTGCCCGGTCGATAGCGCCCCGGGCCAGGGTCCATGTTGAAAAGTTTCAAATTAAAGATTGTACCTACCTATTTTAATTTTCTATTAATGTTGGACAATTCTGGGAAATTTTTCTTTGATTAATTTCCATGTTTTTAATAATCGCTGAGCAGAATTAATGATCCGTTTGTAATGCTTTTCGAGGTGTAATTAAGTGTATTACGAGTGGTATATATTTTTATTTTTTTTCCAACCCACTGCCAAGGTGATGTTCACCATTCGATGCCTGTTACGTTGTATGTAACGTAAACATACTTTGTATGTAATCTATACTTTGACAGCCTCGGTGGTCTAGAGGTTTAGCACACCACTTTTCTTCCAACGGTCGAGGGTTCGTTTCTTGCACGGTGAAAACATTTCTTTACTATTTGTATTGCTCGTATCTGAGTGTTTTTGTATATTATGTATGTATTTAGAAATAAAAACTATGTATTTATATTAGTTCTCTAATACACACACAATATACATATATAACACCCAGACCGATATAATTATATTCATGAATACAAATGTTTGTACTGTAGTACGAATCGAACCTGCGACCTTCGGAAGTAAGACGGTGTGCTAAGCTGCTAGACCACGGGCCGTCAAAACTTATTTTGTGACTAGAATCTATTATATTTAATACCTAGTAGTTATCTAATAGTAAAAAGAGAATGACATCAAATAATATAAACAACATTATTCGACATAAATTGTTAACTATAAGAAGATTTAACATTTATTTTTGAGACTGATAACTTATATTAATATTACAATTTTCTGTATTCTGTATATCAATTTCATGGACACTAACTACAGAAAGATATAATTGATCATTATAAATGGCGCCCAAAAATTTAGGCGCGACATCGTCGACTCTAGTATCTGATGGCTCACTGGTCTCATTTCCAATTCTGTCGTCTCCCCCGATATCTGGAGCGGCTGGATCGACTTTTACTGTATTCGCCGGGAATATATCTGGTAACTTAGTTTCCATTTCAATAAGAGGCCCTTGAACTTGCGTCGATTGACTTGTGGAGGCTTTTTGTTGGAGTCTAATCAATCTTTCTTGAAGTCGTACTTCTGGAACGCGTAAACAGTGTCTTGGATGATTTGACGATACGAAAAAATTGTCTATATCTATTTGGTGGGAAATTGAGGCAAAATATAGAAAATAAGGTTTCACT